TCAAGCATATTTCAATTTACTTCACCCGTCATCGGCAATAATTTTGCCCCCCCTCCCCCAGTTACCACCACTACTCCCTGGAAACATGCTAAAAAAAGCGTAATCTGCCGCATTTCAGTAAAAAAGACATTCTGGAATGAAAGGTAGGTTGTCATGACAACACAGACTGTGAATAAATATAGCTAAGATTAGAAGATGACTTTTTATCAAACAAAAAGTACATTTTCAAAATCAAAACAAACAAAATAAATGCATTCGAAAGATAACAGAAAAAATAGGCAAAATGAGAAATGTAGCTTTCTTTTTAATTTGAGTTTTGAAAGACTAACTTTTTATGAGTCAATAAATTTCTCTTCTCTTCTCTTTAAAGCATTTGCTGTAATAACATGGGCATTTAGGGCTCGTTTCAGCTAGCGGAAGGTTTTGATATGCAATATACAATTTAATTTTGAACGATTCGTCAATTTCACTGGAAAAATAACCTAATTTTTACATACAAGTTATAGCTAATATAGCTAAAATATCTCGAAATATCTTACAACCTGTACATCCAAAATGCTGAATAAGAGAATAGCGGAGAAAGCGAGCTTGAAATCTATTTCCTTAAGTGAAACGTTGACAACTACGAGTTCGAAGGTAATGGCGTGACGTCATGCTGAAATAAAGCAAACAGAGCTGCTGATTAGTAAAGAACATGGTTTCCGACTTCCGGCCAATTTTCCTGCCACTTTTATGCATGTAAAGCTACATGTAAACGGAAGCAACAACTCCCAACATTGTTGGCCCTAGAATGTTGGGAGTTGTTGCCTCTGTGTTGGCAGTGGTGTGAAAACGGACGAAATAACTCTCGAAAATGTCGAGACCTGCAGTGCATCGTGGAAAGGATACAACCCACAAGCCTTTACGTATGGGTGGCCCCAACAATGTTGGAAGAGCTGTCCAAACGGTTCCAACAAAAGACAAAAGAATGTTGGGAGTTGTTGGCTAGAAAGTTTGACCGGTTTCAATCTTTGCGCTACAACTCCACACATGAACATGAACATGAACGCGGAACAACATGCAACAGCGTGTGCAAACGGACGCAACATCTAACATTCAACAATGCTGGGAGTTGTTGGTCATCAATAATGCATCCCCATGCATGGGGCTTAACGTTACCATCTGGGCCGAGTTGTTCAAAGACGGCTTAAGATAACCCAGGGTTAGTGCGAGATTTGAATTCAGATTTGAAAGCTTAAAAAGCATTTCAGTTTTAATTCTTTTTGTCTACAAGTTGATGATTGGAAGCTCTAAAAATAACAAAGAAAATTATCCGAGAAAATGCTTTTGAACACAAGAAAAAGAAACCCTTAAGCGCTAATCGGCCCTCGAACAACTGGGCCCTGGTAATCATAACCTATATATAGCCAGATCGCGAAAAGTTATTGTTGATGTTGTTGATTTTTTTTTGTGTGGCGTTGGTCGTCATAAATGAGCGAAGCGAAAAGCCTAGAGCAGGTTTGAAAGCATCCTACTGAGTAGAGAGCGAGGGGGGGGGGGGGTCAACTTTCTCTTACGTTTAGAGTCAGCAATGACACAAAAAGATATTAAACACCTTACAGAGAATGATACAAAAGCTAACAAGTTGTGCGTTTTAGTTGTATCTATAAAATATGTAAAAATACAACGCAAAAAATTTGCGACCTTATGCGTTTTCCTGTCTACTTCTTAGGGCTTCATCTATCACAATATCGAAACTCTTCATTGTATATGAAATCAGTCACTCTTTAAACGAATGCCACTAAGAAGAAGTTTTTTTATGACATTTTTTCCCTTCGATGCATGCCAAACGTACTACCCCCTCCTTCTGAACTTTCAGCAACATTCACAATGATTACAT